ATGAAATGAAATCAACAAATGGAAACGGACGTTATCGAAGGTTGCGGGATTGCCTTCAAGACTAAGGATAGGAGGGGAGGAACATCGGGGAAATGGAAATTGCTCGCCTCTGGAGTCTCTTCCGCGCCTAAAGCTATTCTGTTTTCAACAAAGAGGGGATGTTCAACGCAGCTTTAAAAGCACTGTCAGTGCCCCGCACCTTTCAAATGTGTCTCAAAATGATTTGTAGTGCTTCTAAGAGATTGCAGTCCTGCAATAATAAATCATGATAGCGAGCTATCCGTGTCCTGATTACCTCCTCACAGGCGAGCTCTTAGCTTGCGTAAAGTTGGAGAAGTCATTTGGTTACGTATAGATGCCACCTCTTGTGGATATCGTAATGTGATTTGACCCCCAAGAATCTTCACAGTCTTCTGTTTTCGACTAGGAAATAGAAAATGTATTCGATAGGGGGATTTTCCAGACCATGGATTTATAGGACCGCTTTGGCGGGCTTGACGTTTTTTTTTCGTTTGCGAGATATTAATTCGATTAGGACAAGTATTCTTTAATAGCAACAATGTAGCCTGTTGAAGTTACCGAACGCTCCAGATCAGTGCTCCTTATTAATTTGTCTATAGCGTTGATTGCTTTTCGCATGAGAACGAAAGTTCAACACGGATCCGAGTAATCACCGTAACCCTTGGCGTGGAATAAAGCGCAGTGTGGTGTAGAGTGAGTCACACCTCAGTCATAGACCTTGTGTGAGAAATGTCTAGCTGTCGCTATACAAGGGATTTGTACAGCAGCTATTGTAGTTGTTGCAGCCTTGTTATCAGCAGCTGGGATTAGGTGAGAACAATAGCCTCGGAGCCCTTTAAATTGTTTGTTGTCCAAGGTAGATGCATTCTTACTGTAAATACTTCATTTAGTTGATGGTTTTCTGGAGAACGTTTTTTACATGACTGTAGTCTAACGATTTCAATAATTATTTTATATCCACGATCTATGTAACCTCTGTTTCGTGCAGCCAGAAATCCACGTGGCACACGTGGCTAAATTCTCGATGAAAAGATGACGTCGCGTGTGTGCTTAAAGATGTTCTTGAATCGATGCCACGTCAATGCCACGTCAATTTCTGCAACTGCACAACTTCTGGTCTTCTGAAGGCGAGGTTATGAAGGTTTCTCGTGAAATAAATATAGGAAGCTCTTGCCTCTTTATGACATAAATGTAGCATCATTCCCCTTGGACAGGGTGGGCAAAAATTGTAGTAACAAGATTCTGATGAAAAAATTATGCGGCGAAGGACAAATGAACAGATCACTATGCACGGAAAGTTGGCACTTCTGTGCAGAAAGCAGAAAACTTCGTCCCTTCTCGGTCATCCTTATAAATAAAGACATACGAACACATCGGCGTGCTCTGGAATTAATAAAAGAATGCTGTCTCTCTGTGGCTTGTGGTATTGTAAAAGTGTTAATGTTGATTGCTTCATGTTGCCCCTAAGTAGCTTCTGTTATTAATTTTCATCTGATTGATTTTGTTTTTCTCATATTTTCCTTTACATTTTGCCAGATGTGTAAGTACCAACACAGTGTATACAGCTTATGCCCAATATTTCATTTGATTGTACATTCTTTTGGGAGCCATGGGCTGGAAAATAAAATATACGTAAAGTCTAGTTGTGTAGCTCCATCTTAGAAAGCAAGCAGCTGCGAAACCACCTGCACTAAGGTGGAGGAACTTTTTTAAACAAAGACCGCTCCCTGCAAAACAAGCGTAATCCGTAAAAGTGGCTATGCAAGCTTAGAAACTACTCAAATCCTTTGTATGATGGTGAACAAGCGTTTTTTAGACAAGATCGATGAGTGAGTGTGGTGTATGTAACCCCACACCACACCACACTACACATTATTCCAAGCCTTGGGTTACGGTGATTGCTTGGATCCGTGTTGACTTTCGTTCTTGTGCTTTTCGCAGTTCCTTCTCATCCTTGCCAGTTGTGGTCTCCTAACTAATATGGTGTATTCAAACTCTGAAATATGATCCTGACCGAATACATTCAAAGGACAACAGGCCTTGGTCCCATCGAAATGCACTGTTCGCCTAGAATTCAAACTGTATTGGCGCAAAAAAAACTCCGAGGTTCCGTCTAGCGTTTTTTGAGTAGGTATGGCGAGTGCTTGAAGTGGTACAGATACAAATCAATTTCGCGATTGCAAGAGCGCATGATTGCCTGATTGCGCGATGTACGTATCTACTTCACACATGAAATGGAAACCGAACTGCTGAATATTACCCACTCTTTGACGTATTCGTCCTATGCTTAATAATTGTACGGAATGAACTCACCGTTTTTCTAGCAAGGAAGGATCATGTTCTACTGTAAATGAAAATCGGCCTCGAGAACTGAAACTCAGATCCAAAAGCGTGGGCGTGAATGAGGTATGAAAATTCCTGTTGCTAAGACCTGCAGAATCTACTGATAAATGTGAACGAGTGATTTAAAGTTTACAAAACAGTAACTGCAGTCACTCTTTTCTTTTCAACATTGCAGTGCCTATTGCTAAATGAACAGTTCAGCTGAGACCAGGCCGCGATGTCGTCTCACAACTGGCTCGGCCGCTTCGCCCATCACTTTCTTACACCCATCTGCACGATAGTTATATTTTCGTAAATGGACACAGCTACATGTGTTTGGGCCTGCTGGGCAAAGGACACACCAGCTGTGTAAGTTGGGATTCTCGTCTTCTTCTTCTGCTGGAGATTTTCGCTCATCTAAATTCTTCACTTATTCATTCGGTTTTACTTTTCCCTTATGGAATTCAATTGCTTGCGGATTGCATTATCGTTGAAAATTATTGCGCTGAGTTTTTCAGTTGTACGAGGTGTATAATGAAACGAATCGAAAAGTTTACGCTTTGAAAGCGGTGGATTTGAGTGAGCTGTGTTTCAATTTTTATCTTTTTTCATGTATTATGTTCGTATGAATTGCGGTGAAATTTAACCCATTGACGACCGCCGTTGTGCGTGTACAGTGCGTTTCATAAAAGCTCCCCCTCGATTTTTGCATTTCTCAAGCAAGCAACTAAGGTGAAATTATTTGGCAAATATGTGCAGATTCGAATTTGGGTTGCAATACCGTTCACCTCAACTTTTTTATAAAAATTTTTAAGTAGGTATTGTTTTCACATCGTTTCATAATTATAAGCACCCCCTGGAAACATAAACAATTTATTAATGTAAATGGCATATGTACAACAGCTAATAATCGATGGCTCCTCCTTGTTCAAGCGCAACATCAAAGAGTCTACGAGGCATACTAGAAGCTAGGTTTCGAAGCAGTTCTTCATCAATTGCTTTCCAGACTTCGACGATCGTCTTTTTCAGCTCTTCCGTACCCTGGATCTGACGATTGTTCGCGTAAACCTTTCAGACTATGATGCCCCAGATGTTCTCCATCGGATTGAGATCGGGACTGCAAGGTGGCCATGGCAGAACGCTTACGTTTTGGGATTGTAGCCACTCATTTGTTGAACGACTTACGTGAATGGCAGCATTGTCTTGTTGGAGGACGTAGTTACGATGAGGATCCCGGCCCAGAAATGGCACCAGATGATGCTCTAAGACGTTCTGGTATTCCTTGGAGTCCATTCTGCAGCTCACGAAGGCTAGTTCGAGCACGACTTCATTGCAAAATGCAATTGCGACGGCTGAAGTGAACCGGCTCCTTGCCTAGGCCACGCCAGTAGTACTTGTTTCCATCAGGTCCGTCCAAATTGAACATTTTTTCATCCGAAAACATGACCTGAACGAAATTGTTTAGCTGTATGGTGAGATTGTGACGCAGGCTTACCTTCGTCCAATCTCTTCCTAACTTCAAACTTGCATATTCTAGTCGAGCCTCTCTGTGGCGGTCGGTAATCCGTGGCGCCTTCTTCATAGCTTGCCTGACGATTTCCTCGCTTCTCCTCACTGCTCTCCAGACCGTAGTTTTTGACACGGAAAGGTTTAATTCCGATCGTATCCGGTTCAATGAGGAGGTGCTGTTGGAAACAGCCCTCAGAATTCTTCACTCATCGTGGGCTGTAATCTTTCGTGGGCGTTAAGAGCTTGTGTTACATCTGTAGACATCGCGTCTTTCCAATACTCTTCGAATGGAGCAGACAGATCTTCCTAATTGTCTGGAAATGGCTTTCTTACTAAGCCCAGTTCCACGAAAAACTTTAATTTGAGCCTGTTCATCAGAAGATAGCAGGCGATCCCGAGCCATTTGATGATAAGAATTGGAGATGCATTTGCTACATATTCTAGCCTTTACAAGTCCCTTGAAATACGAATTTTCTTGTCCTCTATAATTAATTGTTTAATTTCTCAGGGAGTGCCTATAATTATGAAACGCTGTAAAATCGAAAAAACTGTTATAAAAAAGTTCAGAAAAATGATGCTGCTGCAAAAATTTGAATACGGGGGTTATTCGTGCTGGGAAATCCGTTGATAATGCTAGAAAAATTCCTAAATGGTCACTTATTCTGGAAATGCAACATTTGAGGGGGAGCTTATAATTATGAAACGCACTGTATTGTGGCATCCTTTTTTGTACTTTCTCATCAACAGTCATTTACCCTTCGATAATTTCAATATAAGTGATAAGAAAATGTTAAGTATTTAATGTAGCCCACTAAAGTATATAGCACGTTTTGGAACATGAAAAACGCTAAATAAATTAAGCAAAGCTAGTCTGCTACGTGTGAATATGTGGATATCATGTCACACGGTCGTCAACGTGTTGAAAATCCAGATCAGGGATCATCTTATGCATGTGTGTTTACTCAGGCGACAGCAACTCAGTCAAATTTTACCTCAACGAAATGACCATGTTGAAAAACTTACAAGGCAGTAACCATGTGATCCAAATGTTAGAACAGTGAGTTGGAATGGTATTCCTTGACTTGGTCGATATTTCTTGAGTTTCTTTAAGTGAGCTACATGAACACGAGAAGACTTTGTATGTAGTCATGGAGAAGGGCGACGTAGACCTTGCGGCATTTTTGAAAACACGGCACAACGATATGCATCCGTCGTTCATTAAATATTATTGGAAATCTTTGCTTCGCTGTGTCAGAGGAATACATGAAAAAAGTATGACTTTGCTATCACGCACAGTCTTTTTTTCGTAGTGAACGTCATCTTTGTTCCAGGGATCGCGCACGGTAATTTGGAACCAGCAAATTTTCTCCTTGTGAAGGGTGCTGTGAAGTTAATTGATTTTAAAATTGCTACGGTGATCCCGAAGCATCTGGTACTCATACAATTATGTGGTTGACCAGCAGTGTTCTCGCGTAATTTCGAAAGACTGGAAATAAGAACATCATTATATGAACACTTACAGTACATTTTTTTCTTCTCAGCCAGGTACTACTAAAGAAGAACAAAAAGGAAATGTCAGTTATATGCCGCCAGAAGTTTTGCAAGGACGGAGAGTGGATGGAAAGCTAATGGTATTTGGTGGAGTTAATTGCGATTGTTTCCTTTTCAAAATTTTCTAGATCATAGAAGATACAAATTTCCGGCCTTTTGCAAACAGTTGTTTTCTAGATTTTCGCTCCAGTCATACAGAGAAGTTTTGATTTTTCTTTTGGTTCTTTGTAGCAGTGGACCTTGTGCTTAAGATTTCGCTGAAAACGGACGTATGGTCACTAGGATGCATACTGTATAGTATGGTCTACGGTCGACTCCCTTTCACAATGAAAAGTAAAAGGGCTAAGGTTGGTACTACCTAAACCTTGTGGAATACTGATTTTTTTTGTTTTGTTTCGTATGAACTGTTCTTGTCCTAGATTGCTGCTATATGTAGCACGGATTTTGAGATCGATTTCCCCGACTGTGAAGATTATCTGCTCGTCGATGTCCTGAAGGCAGTTTTTTTCATAATATCGGTCAGTACATCTTCAATAACGCATTTTTTCTTTAGCGTTGTCTTGAACGCGATGATCGTCAACGAGCCAGCGTCAACGAATTGTTGAAGCATCCCTATTTAAGTGGGTGCTTGTTTGTTTTCATTGGTTTCCTACTTGTTCTATTTGCTTTTCTTGTTCTTCATAGTCAGTGAGTGGTCACATAATTTCAAGCGATATAGTCTTTCACCATATGGGTAAGGCCGATCATAGAGATTCCAAGTAAAATATTTTCGCTTCTCCGATCATTTATTTTCACATATCTTCTCGCCCATTTTCTTTTCACTGTTCCTGCTATTGGCTTTTTTAATTTCTATATTACATTTTCTTTATCTTATTTGTCTTACCTTTCTAGGTGCATGAAAGTTGAAGTGCTGCTGTTTTTGGTGATTTGTTTCTATTTTTGTTAATGGCTGAGCATGTATTAGGTTAGTTGAAAAGTTTTGTCACGATTTTTTTGAATCGAGCCATCTTTCTGCGCAGAAGCACCAAGTTGAAATATATCCACTATTGGTGTTAACCACTTATTGCCAGCCTTCGGCAGCTTATGAATGCCATCCTTCTGCAGCGCTGGCTACTGCGAGGCAAATGAGGACACGGCTTGACTTTAAATCGGACATGTTCGAAAATTCTAGTCCAGGTGGTGAATTAGGTTGAAGAACAACTAGTAGTCGCAAGGATGAATGAATGAGTGTACCGGGGATGAGGGAGACCTCTTTATCTATGCTGTGGGCTTCTAGGTTACCTTTTTGCAGGTCATTTTGGCACTGTTATGTCGGAAATGAATTTTTGGAAAATTCTTTGATTATGCCGTCGATATTCTCCAACATACCCCACCGTTGTACATGTCGTATTGAATTTATCAGAGACTTCAAGTCCAAAAGTACGGCAAAACTTCTTCGAAACTCTAATAATATAATAGTTTTTCCAAAAGTAGACAACAACTTCTTTTCTCTAGCTGGCTCCTACAAAGGAAACGCCCCTGAACCGTTGTCATGACAGTCTCACTCCTTTTCATTCTATTTTTCATCACTTTTTTCTGGCATTCATTATATCATATCATCTGGAGACAGTAAATTTATAAAGGTGTTTAATGCAGCAAACGTTTTTTCTTGTAGAGCATTTCTTTGTCTTGTCAGTGGTTTAAATATTTTTTGTTCTCTGTTGTATATCTGTGTGATCTGTACAGTGGTGTTCCTGCTCTTCATATATGCTCACAGCATTTTTTTTTACATTTGTGCTTTGCATCTTCCTTTAAATAAAGGAAATTCTCTCAAGTCTTTTTCATTCATGTTAATTTAAGCTATAACAAGCTTTACTTGAGTCTCAAGTAATTTCGAAATTTCTCCGGTTTATTCTTGGGTAGATAACTTCGAATCGATATGTCAAGTTTCCGATAAAAGAATGTGCTTTGAGGATTTAGACCGATCGTTTGAAGGTATTCGGGTGTTCAGCGACATCACGATGGCACCTATCGTCCGGTGAAGGTTCCTTGACTAAACCACCAAGTCGTTAATATCAGAGGAGCAGGGCGCAGTGAAAGTTGAAAGAATGCGTGAGAATAGTGGGTTTTACCGGTTTTATTCATTACTTGACTCGTTAATGATTTTAATTTTCTGTTTACCTGATTCCATGCACTGGAGCAACAGTTAGCTATCTGGACTAACAATCAGTTTAGCATGGCAGTATCGAATTTAGGACTCGGAAAGGATTATTTTGTAGTGTAGTGGTGAACTTCAGCTTGTTGAGTTTCTGGAAGTCTATTTTTGGCTCAGTCCATACCTAACTGTAGGATTAGTTTCGGGACAGTAGTGACGGAAAACCAACTGCGTAACACAAGAAGGCACCAGAAATTTTTTTAAAATAATTTAATATGTCTCCAAGAACCCCAAATGTTCCAGAACCAAGCCGAAGAGAATTCCTTCGAGAAATCTTTCGACATTTTGGTGTGTAACGTCTTCGTCAAGCCTTCGAATTTTCCTCCACAAAGTAAAGCTACTCTATGGGAGCCGCGCCGTTCGGATGATTCAGTTCCATGATTCAGTTCTGGCTTCTGTAAGGGTAACATTTCTCTCAGCCGAGGCAAATACATGCCTGACAAAGGTGTGATGCATCGATCGCGGAATTTATAATATGGGATATTTGGAGTTTTTGGCAACTTTTAGAATTCCTTGAAATAAAACGTTTGAAGCCTCTTTGTGAGAAAGAACATTTAGGTCTTCTTCTCCCTAGCGTTAGTCCCGCGCAGTTGCAGGGTCCGCTGTTTTTGTCACTCGTCGCCACTTTGCTCTGTCCAGGGCATCTTCCATCGTGGCCGTGACCTCACCTAGGTTTTCCTTGATTAGGTCTTTCCACCTTCTCTTCGGTGCTCCTCGCGGTCGCTTGCCTTCTACTTCGAAGTTCATCGCTGTTCTTGTCGGATGGTCCTGTGGCCTCCTTAGCACATGCCCATACCGTCGCAGACGCTGTTCTCGTACCTTTAGCTAGCAGGGGCAGTCTGCATGACCGCTCTGACGTCCTCGTTTCTAACCTTGTCCAGCCGCGTCCAGTCGCAGGCTCATCTCAGCATCCTCATTTCAGCAGAGTGAAGTTTTCTTTCCTGATTCTTGTTCAAGGCCCAGCTGCCGCAGAGCATCGCTGGCCTTACTACTGTCCGGTACACTTTCCCTTTGAGCTTCTGGAGCGCCTTCGATGGCAGAGGATCCCTGTGGATTCTCTCTACTCCATCCAGGCCGCGTTGATTCGTGCCTCCACTGCCTGATCCACACTTCCGTCGGGCAGCTATTGCTCCCAACGTATCGGGGGTCCTCCACCCCTTCAATGCATTCCCAATTCCTGTCCGCAATCGGCTCTGCACCCTCTTTGAAGCTCAGGAACTTGGTTTTCTTGACATTCAGCCGTAGCCCACCTTCCGCCCGTACTTTCTGCCATTTCTGCAAGTTGGCTTGAAGTTCATCTCTACTATCCGCTATCAAGGCGACATCATAGCGTAGAGAATGGTCTTCAGTGGTCCCTCCATAAGCCTCTTTACCAGGCCATCTGGTGTTAGGAGGAAGAGGAACGCTCACATGACCCTTGGTGCACCCCGCTCGTGATGTCCACCTCCTTCTTGAGGCCGTATGGGGTGCGTATAGCTGCCTTAACCCCATCGTACATGTTCTTCACCAGAGAGATTAGGTGTTGTGGTACGTTCCATTCTCTGGGTGATCTCCATAGTACTGCTCGCGGTAGCCGGTCGAACGTCTTTTCCAGGTCGAGGTAGGCTGAGAAGCAAGGCCTGCGCTTTCCGCGATACTTCTCCATCACTTGCCTAGCGATGAAGATGACATTCGTTGTAGACCCTTCACATGAAACATGAACCCGAACTGTTCCCGGAAGATCTGGACGAAGTCCCGCAGTTTCGAGACTACCAGGCGCACTACAACTTTATGGTATTCGCAGTCAACTTCATACCGCGGTAGTTGGAGCAGTCCATCGCGTCACCCTTCTGTTGAACATGGGGACGATAGTACTTGCTTCCCAGGCATCCGGCATCAGTATCAAGCGAGGCGTCGAGGAAAATTTGCAAATACGACCCTCCTCCCTCCTCCAGAGGCCGATGTCCATGGAACGATCCTCTTCAAAAGCCGAACTATTAAAAGATCGTTTAAGTCTCCCCAAAACTGTTCATAAAAAAGCCCTTCTACTCCACCATCCACCAAAAAATTCGTTTAAGAAGTACAATAGTGAAAAGTCAAAGAATTATCATTATTTATGAGTCCTACCAAATGAGCAAACGAGAAAAGTAGCAAAAAACGACAAACTAGCCACTAAAAATGGCATGCTATGACTACATCTCTTCTTTATTTATATCCTCTGCAGGACTTACCAAATTTTAGTATTACACGGAGTATGGTTCGCAGTCTACACGTCCCAATTTCGCTTGAAGGAAGCCTTGTAACCGTTTTAACCAGCTGTGTGCTGACTGATCCTTTGCGTTGTCCTCGGAGCAACCTATCTACTATTGAAATTTGAACACAAGTTCAAATGATTATAACTTTCTTTAAATATGACGAATTTTCTATCTGAAAGCAGATTTGAGAGTTTTGTAAAGAGTTCTTTCTGTGTTGTTAGTTTGTTGAAGTTACAAAAATCTATAAGAAATAACAAATTTAGATCAATTAACGAGGAAAATTCATGACGAGTGCGAGTTTTTACACTTTCCAAAGCCATAACTTGCTTCATTTTCGTCATCCGAAAAGTTAATACGCCAGACAAAACTAGAAGATTGTCTATATCAAAGGGTCTCTAAAACTGCTAAATACGTTCACTATTTAAAAATGGCCACGTTGAGGATTTTTGCCCGAGTACCGACGAAAGGTACTTTTTCGCAACACATTCGAATGACTATAGCTCCTTTCAGGGGCGATTATATACTAAAATGGGAGCAGATTCGAAATCCTCGTGCTTTTCTCTTTCCAAAAGTGTAGAACTGTTTAGCGTATCCCATCTTTGACACTAATATGCTCATGAATTTGACGCTGAAGGCAGCATTTCTTGTTGAGCGGTGTGATTTCACATGAACTCTTTCAGAATCCTCTTGTTTTTTTTCCTGAATTGAGATTCTTTCTCTAGATAGCCATAGCTGAAGCGCACACAACCCACTGGGCCCACTCTGGGATGCACCGTGTGCTTCACATCCCTTCGGATTTGAGAACTCACTTGAAAAATAAAACATCCCTCGGAAAACGTGTGAATTTTGGATTCTTTAACTTGCGTGGTGATAAAACACTGAAGTGACTAAGAATTGCAAAACGGACACCTCTAAATCACGAAGATTTTGTGTGGGTGGAACCAAGCGTTATTGGAAATACTCTGGCCCGGCATCGACTCATCCTCGACGTTTGTCCTCCGACGATGATCCTACTGCATCAGTCTGGCCCTCCCTTCCCCTCAGCGGGCCAATACGACCTCCCCCCCCCCTCGTGACCTGACGAGGATTCCTCAACACACTCTTGACCCTGATCTTTCCTTCGGCAGTCACTGTATTCAAGAAGCGGGTGAGCCACCTCACCCATGCTCTCCAAAGGCCTTCCAAGCCTCTACTCCACCCGGACCAACTGATTTTTCTACCTTCATCCTCCCGAGTGCACACCGAACACCCTCTGTCCAGACTGCGATAGGACCGGCTGTGGCTTCTGCCTGTGAGTTGCTCATGTGGGGGAACTCCCCGTTCAGAAGACCTCTGAAGTACTCTCCGAAGAACGTGCTGCAGATTGCCAGATCGTGGACCGTATACAGGTCTAGGACCCTCTCTCTCTCAGCGCTCCTCACTCCTATTCCTCTATCTCCGTGCACCCTTTCCAGGCCTTTTCTTTCACTGCCTACGTG